AAATGCAGACATGGTTTTATGTTTACGCGGCGTGATGCAACGCAACGTGTAAAAAGACAGTATAAGTCATTATAATCAGTTATTATGTCCCCACTGGATGCAACAAATGCCTCGTTTATAATGGGTTTTCATGTTTTTGAATCGTCACTCTGGCCGGACAGGGCATCACAATATGGTAAGGGGCGTAACATTTTCATCACATGCTTGAGGTATTCAGCCAATCACAACGCACTGGATAGCTGGCCAATCAGAGCACACCTCGCTTTTCAGAACGATGAGCTTTGTAAAAATCGACGCGTTTCAAAAAGGCGGGGCATAGAGGAGAAACAATAATGTACAGTATGTGGAAAATAATGTGTTTTTTGAACCTTAAACCACAAACATTTCATTACACCAAATACACAAAATAATGTTCTTTTTAGCAACATCATATGACCCCTTTAAAATAATTTTCTATTTGGATACATTTTAAAATGTAATTTATTCCTATGATTACAAAGCTGAATTTTCAGCATCATTACTCCAGTCTTCAGTGTCACATGATCCTTCAGAAATCATTCGAATATGCTGATTTGATGCTCAACAAACATTTCTTATTATCAACGTTGAAAACAGTTGTGCTGCTTAATATTTTTTTTCAGGATTCACTGATGAACAAAACTTCAAAAGAAGATAATTTTGAAATAGAAATGTTTTATAACAAGCTAAAAGTCTCTTCTGTCACTTTTGATCTGATTTTATCTTTTTTTCCCAATTTATTTTTATCTCGTGTTACACATATCAACCAACCACCATACAGATATAATTTTACAAAAATGCATCTATACATACATGGCTAACCTACCTATAAACAAAACAGCTAAGTTAAACATTTACATATTTAACAGTTAATGGAGTAGTTTAACAATAGTTAACTAAAAGGATAACGAAATTGCAGTACTGCATGCAAAAGCAATAAATTCATGCTATTTTTAGGTCTTTATTTAGGACGTACTGTACTCTGGCTCTTCAGTTCCAGAAGGTTCTCTTGATGGCTCCGCCTCCTGTTGCTCCTCCTGCTCTTCCGGTGATGCAGTCTCCAGATTTGCAATCATCACCTCATAGGCCTTCCTGGCCTCAGCCGATAACTCAATCATTTTGTGATAGTGGTCCTGTGGCCATCAAATAAAGAGAAATCAGCAAAATGCACAGAATTAGATATTTACTATAACCAGAAACTTCTGGTACTTACCTGTGCGCCATCATAGTTAAAGATGCCCACCAAGCTGACAGGAACAGCTTTATTAACACAGCGGCCCAGCGCCTTCCGTGACAAGGCAAACACAAATGGGATGCCTTGATCCCGGCATGTGTCGATGATCGTGTGAAGAGCCTCATCTAGGCCGCCTACATTAACACAACAGGCCCTCCATCAGCAACAATTACAGCAGCAATATGAATGGAAATGTGAGTTCGGTGCTGTAAACTCACTTTACCTTTGGACTGAATACGTTCACAGTTGGGTGAGATGATGACGCACTTGACCTTCCGGAGTTTGAGGTGTTTCAGCACCTCTCGTAGGCCCATGACCAGCCTGCGCTTCATCCTGGCTTTCATGGGGTCTTTCTGAAAAAGACGATCCTGAAACCTCACCAGCTCCTTCAGTAAGCTGCTCACACATTCATCTACATCTTTTCTAAGCACCTGGTTGCAGTAGCTGTAGAATTAGCACAAAGAAATACATCATCTATAAAATGTATATCAACAACAAAAACAACATGATTATTATTAATATATTATTATTATTAATTAATATTATTTTAATTGATTTATTATTATTAATAATAATAATTAATATTATTTTTTTATTAATTTATTATTATTATAATAAATTATTGTTATTACTACTCAAATCTATTTTCTATCACTTGAAAATTAGACATTTATTTAATCACGAATTCAAGCCTTTTTGGGAACAATACAAGTTGGGGGGGGGGGGTTCTTACTCTCGCTGTGGATTTTGGGAAGATTGGGATTCCAGGATTTTAGTGTTGCATTTTCTGACACGCTGTCATCCAACTTGTGATGAGATGGTGAACCAGGCTGGCCACTCTCTGACTCCTCAGTCCCAACGAGTCCAGGCATCTCATCTATGTCTGATGAGTTTCATTGTACATATAACAAAAACACTGATGCTACCAAGCTACACAACACTAAAACTTTTCATATTCTGATCAACCTCAGTAATTGCCTACAACGATCACATTGTGATCACAAGTGCTGTAATATATTACAGTGTTTCATACTTGTGTGAAGATGTTGGTCATGGTCAGCGAGGCTCGTTTCAGAAGGATTCTCACTAGTACTGGTTTCGTTTTCACCAGCTTCAGTGGCCACTCGGGTTGGGTCTCTCTCCTCCAGCAGGCGGTTCTGTTTCCTTTCCTCTCTCTCCCGAAGAATGACCTCAATTGTTCAAATTGCAAAACATCTTTAAGAATTCGGATCAAATATGGATTCAAAATTCACAGGAATTTTGAAATTTCTGCACCAAATATAAATGACACTCCAGTAGGCTTGACTACGAATTGATAGACGGTGTTGACGGTGATACCGGGGTTAAGCCGCAACACCGGTTACGTCACTTGCCCACCGCGGCTCCGACCCCCACCGTCGTTTTGATTTTTTTGTAGTAATAAAAATAATTTAGTTCAGTAAAAGAACAGACACTACAATTAAAAACTGAACGCGGCTGCTCAAAGTGCCAAACGACAGTCGCATCTGACTGACTGAGTCGAGCTGACTGACAAGAAGAGTGAGGTGAGACAGAAAAGACGATCGCGGATGATTTAGTTTAGAAACAAAATGCAAAAGTGCCTGTTTGGCAATATTTTGAAAAGCCTGTTGACTTTTGCCGTTTATCTAAGGTGATTTTGGAAGTTTTTTTAAACATTCAGTGCCAAACGACAGTCGCATCTGACTGACAAGAAGAGTGAGGTGAGACAGAAAAGACGATCGCGGATGATTTAGTTTAGAAACAAAATGCAAAAGTGCCTGTTTGGCAATATTTTGAAAAGCCTGTTGACTTTTGCCGTTTATCTAAGGTGATTTTGGAAGTTTTTTTAAACATTCGTTTATATTTAATTGGTTCCACATTGTTTGCTGATTTTTACTTTATTTAAACTTTGTGTCATTTATTTATTTTATTTGACATCAAGGTGTATGCCGTGCCTCCAAGCTTTCTTACTCGTTTTGCTAATAAACGTTCTACGTTTCTTATTTATTTGGTTATATACTATACATGTTTACTTAGCCTATTTCCAGTTTTGTATACCTATTTAAACTTTATGCAAGTTATTTGTTATTTTATATTAGGCATAGCCTGCCCTTTAGCATGGTGTATTTTTATTTGTTTTGTTAATAAAAGTTATATGTTTTATATATAGGCTATAAGTGAGTTTGACATTGTATTTTGTTGTTGCATTCAAGCAATTGATGCCGAACTGCCGCTAATTCGAAAGTGAAAGTAAAATGTGCACGCCGCTTTTACAAGCTATTTAAAAGTGAAGGAGAGCGAGGAAAATAGGGAAAATTCAAACAAACTAAAAACGAACAACTGCTTTAAGCCGAATTGCCGCTATTTGAAAGTGAAAGTAAAATGCGCACACACCGCTTTTACAAGCTATTTAAAAGTGAAGTAAAGCGAGAAAAAGAGGGAACGCCCCCACCCCCACGGTGATGCCGGTATTACCGGTGTTGTCACACGTTGATTAACCGGTGGGAAAATTTCCTCACCGTCACAACCCTACACTCCAGTTGTGTTAGATGACACCAGTGGCACACAATTCTCACACCACAACTTTAGGTGGACACTGGACTCACTCTTTTGAGTGGTGTTGGTTTCTTCGCCTTGGGAACTTCTCGCTGTTTTCCCTTCTTCACTAATGGACAGGTGGAGTCCAGCGGGTTGTGCGGTGTCTTCTCTTGCTGCCATGGTTTTTTCTGAACTGAAGGTTCTTTGTGGACTACAGGCAGAGCTCCTCCAACTAACACACCAGCAATATTAATTGTTTTATTACACATAGTGAGTAACATCATAGTTTCCTACAAAGTCTTTAAATGCATAAAAGAGTATCGACTTGCATATTTCAGCCAAATACCTGAAAGTGTTAGTGGTCGCTGGTCTTGTGTGGATTTTTGAGACTGTTGCTTCTGCTCAAGAACGGTCAGCATGTTTCCAAGGTCAAGCTGTACAGGAACTTTTGACTTCTTCTGACTAGTCTGCTGAGATAAGATGGGATAAGAAGCAATTACAATGTGTGACCGTCTCATTTCTTAGACAAAATATTTAGTCATTAATTTTACATTCGGATTTACTCTACATCCTTTTAGATTTGATGGGGTTTAAACATCGCACTGGGGAAACATACCAACCTGTGTTTTCTTAGTGTCACTGGAGGAAGAAGCGGGTGTAGTGGCTTTGTGTAGGGACAATCCCTCTTTTTGTGCTACTGAATGTCCTTTGAGTTCCTGAATCAATATAATTACGGATGATACAATTAACAGGTGCATATTTCAGTCTTTGAAATTCATTTTATATGAACTGCTGGCATGGTGCTCAGGCCAAAATAATTAACTCACAGATGCATGTGATAGGTCTGGAAACTCCTCTTCATCCTCCAAAATAAATAAAATACAAATAAAAAAATAAAAAATAAGCCTCCAAAATAGATTTACGTAGTTTACAATAACTGATTTATACAGCAATTTATTTCCAACAAACAACAATTTAAACACGAAACTCCTAAAATCTAATTTCAGAAAATATAAAATCACAGATTTGACATATTTTACCTCAAACTTTGGAGGCTCTTGCTGTATCAGATGTTCCTCTAGTGTCTCCTCTGCGTTCTCAGATGCTGTTTTGGATTTCTTCTTTTTCTTCCTCCTCTTCTTCTCTGTCTGCTCAACTAGCTGCGTAGTTAAATCCTCCTGGATACAGTAAAAATACAAATAAAAAGCATAAATTGTGTCTATTTTGTATAGTACATGTTCAAAATGCTGATCAACAGTGCAGCAGTTTACCTGAGACAATCTGTTGGCTTTAGAGCTTTTCTGGATGACTCTGGGAGGCTGAGAAGCAATGTTTGCCCAGGACTGAGCAGAAGATCCGGTGGGATTGGATTGGTCCTGATCTAAATCAAATTGGGGTTTAAACAATTTGATGCATTTAATTCTTTTAGGATCGAATTTTAACTTAAAAATCTAATTTAAAAAGATTTACAACCCACTTCTGTAATATGATGTGAAACTGAATATTCTATAAGAAAAGAACAACAACAAAATAATGGTGTGTTCAAGTCATGTCATAACGATCATGTTTATGAGCTGAACACACATGAATCCCACTACAATGTCATACTTGTGAGCGGGAAACTCTCTTTAAGCCCTGAGTTAGGGGTGTGTCAGTTAAAAAAAATATAGGGGAGTTGTTGAAATGAATGAAATTATTGCTCCCCCCCATTTACGGGAAAACTAGCATGCTGCATTCTCAAAATACAACAATGTACAATTACAACAGAATATATAATGATTCAATTTACAACCCCTTCATAAATTGGATAAAAACATAAAAATATCAAAACACACTTGATGTGCATTTTTTTTATTTGTCATTGTGTAGAAGTTAAATAAATGATGATTATTATTATTTTTTTAAAGAATCGTAATTACAACTTCCTAACTTGCAAATACGAGGATTGAACACACCATAAGACAAAGAAAGATATGTATTAAGAAAATAAATAGGGTCTATTTTGATTTCTGAAGCATGTTTGCACATCTTCACCTGCTGTGATAGCTGATGACATGTCACACTTTCCACTGGACGGGACTAGCTGTGCCGACTTGGTTCTTCGTTTTGGTACAATCTAATAAGAATAAAAACCAAACGTTGCCAAGATTCATTGAGTAACAGCTTGTGCTTTAACAGAACAATGCGATCTTTGGCCCAAATCACCAGGCATGAAAGTTACCTTACAAAGGGGTGCTGGTGAACTCTGACACTCTGCTGGCGTGACTGCGCCAGCGCGTACCCATGATTCCTGGTGCAGGGAAGCTGCTGTAGGGTTGCTGGGTGTGATATCACCCAATTCAGGGAAATCGGCAAGTTTCATTTCAAATGTGCTGCTACATGTAATGGCTGATTTGGCTCTCTCTGCGGGGTTTGGGGAAGGTTTGGTCCCTCTGTCACCTAGAAGCAGAACCAAATCTTCCAATTACAATTTAATCAGGAAATTATTATTAGAAGTCTTCTTAAAAGGAATAAACACCTCTGTCTTTTGATCTCCTGCTGATTATTTTGTCCTGAGAGGAAGACTCAGCTCTGTTGTCTTTTAATAACTAAAAGATTGAAAAACTTTATTAGGCTTTCAAAAGTGCAACAGTAACAAAGATTCAAATCATCCAAATGTCCATACTAGGATCAGACCTTTCCAGTTTGCTTGTTTGAATCATCATTTAGACCACTGCGGGTTTTGAGATCAGCGCACTTGTTGGTGTGAGAGCTGCTGTTGTAGAGGTTTGTCCTTTGTGCCACGTCATACTGATTGTCTACTGATCTCTGCCTACTCTTGAACCAGTCCTCGGGTGACGACTGGCATGTCTTGTTTTTATATGGAGCTCTGTGTACAATAAAGTCTAAAGTTAAAAACTGAAAATCATACAACGAGTCAAAACTAGCACAGATTTCGTTAGTTCTCCAATGCAATGTGCGAAAAAGCAGTTGGACAATTAAAAGCAACTGATATACGGTTCAAAATTAATACAAGTATTGTTACACTTTTTTGCTGTCAAATGTTAGCGGAAAATATTCATAGTCAATTAGTTCACCCAAAAGTGAAAATTCTGTCATCATTTACTCACCCTCATGTCGTTCCAAACTGATACGACTTTGGTAAATCTTAGAAACACAAGTTAAGATATTTTGAAGGAAACCTGAGAGGTTTCTGTCCCTCCATTGACTTACAGTAAAAGAACCAAAACTTAAAAGATCCACAAAGGTCACAAAGGCATTGTAAAACGAGTCCTGATGATTTAATCCAAGTCTTGTGAAGAGATATGATCGCTTTACATGATGAACAGGTTTAATTTGGGCTTTTTTATTTACATCTAAACAATGATCAACATACATGAAGCACACCGCCTTTGGTAAACATGGAAGTGCAGACGGATCTTGGATTAAACCTCTCAACTCATTTAGATTCATTTTACGATGCCTTTATGGCCTTTTTCGATCTATGCTTTGTTTACCCAGACTTTCAATAGATGGACAGAAACATCTCAGGTTTCATTAAAAATGTGTTTCTCAATGATTAACCAAAATCCTATGGGTTTTGGAACAACATATAGGCGAGTAAATTATGACAATTTTCTTTTTGGTGTGAACTATCCCTTGGATTTGATGAACTACACCTGTGATTACTTTGATTGGACATCTGTGTGAACCTGATGAGTTGGTTTAAAGTTATTTCAAAAATGGCTCAGGAAAATACGGAGACATATCATGGTCACAAATTATGAATTTGTTCCCACAACTTATTAATGCATGGCCATGCTGTACTAATTATTCCCCCTTATTAGTTTATTTAAATCATGTCAATGATTTTAGCCAAAACAAGGGAACAAATGAATAAGCTGTGGCCAGTATATCTTGTTTCTCCCCCCTGCTTATCATGTACGGGTCTCCCCGTGAAAGTGAAGTTAGGTCTGAAAAAAAGGTCATTCTATCACATCTGCAGAAAGCACTTGGTTTAATAGTTTGACATATAATGCAAAGATTTTCATACATTTTAAGTATCCCAACACTTTTTGGGGCCACTGAACTTGAACACAAATCTAACGTTACATAAATGAATGAATCATTTCTCAATGCTGGCTTGCTCTGACTGGTAAATAAAATCAGATTCCACACAGTCAGTTCTTTTTACCTTTTTAAGTGGTCCTCCATTTTGTCTTGCTGTGGAAGGCTATGAATCAACCAAATTCAGAGGATCCAAAACTCCATCCTTCATTATCTGTGAGCACAGAGACAGGTTCAAAGATCAGACCAGTTATAAGACAACATGCATGAGCTGAAACGAAGTTGAATAAATAAAATAACCACTTTGAAAAAAATCACTATGGAGTGCACAAATCTGCGTTTAAACAAACGACGCTGAATCCATGTAAATGACAAATAATGACGCAGCAACCAAATTAAAGACTAAACACCGCTCAGTTAACAGTCTTATGTCATAATCCAAAGTTCAGCCAAAGTCACTTTCATATTACAGTTTAATATTGTCTACACACCGACGTTTATTATTTTAAGAGATCATAAGTAAATGTACATAAGGTTTTTGCAGGACTGCTGTCGTAAGGAGATCATATTGGATTGGATAGGTTAGCAGCAGCCAGCTACTACAACATCAAGCAAACTTCTTTGATTCAAACTTAAGACACCTGAGATTCAAGCTTATATGTGAAACAACATGATAGAGGGCCAGTGTGTCGCATGTTTAGCTGTCGACAGCTTCCAGCAGCTCCTCTGTGTCAGATCATATGGGATTTCTAGGTAACTGTTAGCTAGTGTAAGCACAGTCATGATGATGATGAACTATATAAAAACGATATATTTTACAGATAGTAAAATATTTCATACCTTCCAGCCTTTAACAAACTCCATTTTAAAAAGACGTATTCCGTTCAGTTCAGATGTAAAACTGGTAGGTCGAATAAAAAGATTGAGCTCAAAGTTGTCAACAAGAGCAGTCGGTGCGCGGACTTTTATTTTGAAGATGGTCTGATAGTAAGACATTACTCCACACAAAATGTAGTCGACGACCTGCGTAACAAAATATTTTTGTTCATTTTTTATTATTGTATTTTATGTATTTATTTTTCTCAGCATTTAAAATAAACCTAGGAAAAATATGTGGTCTAAAAGTAATGTTTTAGGTGACTTTTCTTTATCTTATAGACGTGTTCTTTTAGTTTTAGTTTTTGATTAATAACAAAAATATGGACAAAGTAACTTTATGCATAAACTTACTTTTGTTTATTGGTAAGTTTTAAATTCATAAATGTAAATACGTGAAATGTAAACAATAGTTTAATGTATTTAAGCAAGAATTGAATTTGTTTTTAGATACAATTTCATCGTCTGTTAAAAAGAAAACGATCAAAACATCTGCAATAAATAAATATATTGGAACTTCCTAATAATCATACTTTTTTTTCTCTTATTAAATACTAATATAATTGCTTCCCATTGTACTTTGGCTTGACAGCTGAATGTAGGAATTCTTGTGTTTTTATTCCTACTTGTATGTTGAATTTGCATTAATAATAATAAAAAAAACATCATGCAAGTTCATATAAAAAGAAAGATAAATAAAACATTCCAGTAGACATTAATCATCATTATTTATTAATCTTTTTTTTAGAAATCTGATTGAAAAGATACAATTAGTATCCACATATTTTGATATATAAACACACATAAATATATATATATATATATATATATATACCAGTGCATATATAGCTACATTAGCCAAACATATAATGTCATTCTTATAAAACGGTATCACTGACACAGAGGCATAAACATATGCATATCTGTTGACCTCTGTGTTAATTAAGTGTTGTAAAAAATACATTTGTGACATGTCTTACTATTTAACGTCTCTTTAAACAAATAAACAAATTTCCATAAGCACAAGTACTTTTTATTGTTTTTCACTGTAAACACTTTAAGAGGAACTTTCTTGAGTGGACTTTAATCCTTTCAATAAGGAAAAAGAGGTCTGGCCCTCTTATGACACAAGACTGAATCCTAAAACTCTCTATCTCATTCCTCCTTCTGTCTCCTCAGCCGGCTCAGTAAAATCAGAGGGACTATAAAGAACATTGAGCTGATTATAAAACATAATTCTGCTCCAGCCAACCAGTACACTGGAGAAAAAAAAAGTTAAACAATGTTAATATTTGCTGTAAACTGCAATAAATAAAGGTACAGACTGATTTAAATGATTTCCTTGCAATTGTAAGTTACTGTTAGGGTTGTTAACATAAATACAAATAATTGTTTCATCTTTCTAAGATTACATATAATTTATTTATTTTTATTTTTTTACCTGAAGAAGCCACAGTAGGGCCCAGTGCTCGAGCTAAAGCTCCAAGACTCCGAAGGATTCCCATTACTGTCCCCTTCTGACTGGCTGAGCCTAACAAACCAACACAGACATCAATAACACCATCACACATTCAAACTAAAAGAGGTGTGAGAGATGTTACGATCATTATTAAAGGGACAGTTCACTTAACAATAAAAATTCTGGCATCATTTACAATTTGCAATGCAAAACAAGAAAACAAATTATATATATATTTGTAGTAGTAGTAGTAATCAAAACATCACAATCATCACAATTCTTAAAAAATATCCTCTTTTGTGTACCATAGAAGAAAGCAAGTCAATTTTCATTTTTTTTGGTGAACTATCCTTTTAAATAATGTTTTTTAAAAAATCTACAGAATGGTTAACTTAAGAAAATAAAGCTCAGACAAAACTAGACACAGGAAAAAAATATTAAAATCCCACCGTGTCCAGACACTTGTGTTGAAAGGCATGGAACAACAATAGCAGCAGCTGAAAAATTTTTTACAAATTCAAATACTAACACAAAAACAATAAGTAAATATTTAGATGATACTTATAATAATGTGTTTGTATACTGACAGATGCATACTTGCTTACCAAACGAGTACAAAAATAAGCCAGAATAAAGCAGTGTCAAATTCCATGCTATTCCAATGAGCAAGAATGCTGGTATAAGTGATATAATTGCCTGAAATACACAGATATGTAGTCACAATGTGCAGGCCTTTCAGTAGTTAATCATTAAATAATATTCAGAGTTCCAAGAAAAAAGCAAGAAATTTTGATTGACTCGTGATCCAGTAATGCATGAAAGAGTTTACCACGCTAACAGTCTGGATCTGATGACCTGGTTTGATCCTGCGGGCATATCCACCCTGGATCACTGCCATGGTAATGCCGATGAAAAAGAACATCTTCCCCTGCTGCATGCTATGACAGAAGAAGGCAGAGTTTCATTTTAAAAACCTCAGGCAAGACCACAGGATTCAGCTGCACTTTGATACACACACACACACACACACACTGGTATCATTGTGTCTGACATTGTGTATCTCGCGGTTCTGATTAAGCAAAACACATCTGTGCAAGAGTGAATTGGTAAATTGAAATCATATATTATCCTAGGGGCAGCTACACCTGACTTCAACCTTTGTCCTCTTTCCCTTGTTCTGGTTGTTTATGATATATAATAAATTAGCCCAAACTTCCTTGTTCCTCATGCCTACATCCAAATACACTCAAAAGATGTCACAACTTCATGAGTCATATCTCATGGCTTAAGTTGGGCCCTGAACTCAAAATCGATTAGCTAGATTTGCTACGGACAGTTTATCAGTTGAAGACAATGGTGTGCTTTATAATGTTACAATTTGAATGCTGTTGTGCAGGCAACTGATGTGTGGAAGCAGTAACCACAGCCTTTTTTAGCTGTTTTTTAGAGGCTCTTGGAAGTTGCGATGTTAAGAATTGTTGCGTTAGCTATAGATTCAGGCCTTACCTGGAAAATTGGAAGCGCTGATGTGTCAGAAAGCTCAAGGTGAATTCCAACCCAGAGAAGAGAAACAGATATGTGAAGTAAACCAATCCAAGCGCCTTAAGATTTAGCATTTCTATTGTGGAAAAAAAGTAAAATAATCATCACAATCAATTGCTGTGACAGTTATTCATCCTGGTCAAATTTAAGACTTTTAAGTTAGCTGAAAGCTTATGGACTCACTTTGCTCAGATGGTGGATTCTGTGTTCTTGTGAGGGCAGTGAACTTGAAAAGTGCAACAGGGAAAATAAGATCTCCAGAGTGTTGAATACCTGAAGACTCTGATGCACCCTGAGTCGTGAAAAACATTCATTACATTTCTAATTAAAGACAATTCTATTAACAATTAAAACTAAGCTGGAGGTGATTACAATAAAAGTCACAATGTATCGAAAGTAGCAACAAATCTTTTTTTCTGTATCCTGACATTCATTCATTTCATGCTGGCTTTAAATGTCACTAAAATATTCAAGCATAATGTGTTCACTGACAATTACATACTTACATTACATTATTACAACATAACTGAAGAGCATTATTTTAGTCACTAAATAAACTGATTATTAAAAGTTAGCTTCTAGTTGTCACCGTGCTGACCTTTTGTAAAGTCTCTGGCAGCATGAAGAAAATAAAAAGCAGGTCTGCTAAAGAAAAAAGGACAGCCAGCAAGGCAGGGCCTTGATAAAACACCTCAGCGTCGTTGAGTCTCAGAGCAAAGTATGCTCCCATTAATGGACCCAGTGTGAACCCCAAGGAGAAAGCGACACCAATCATTGCCTGAAAACAGAAGAAAACAAACCCTAAATCTTCAAAAGACTCCAGAGATAAAAGCTTAAAATGTAAAACATTCATTTCAGATAATGATGACCATAACTCACCATTCCCTTGTTTCTTGCTTTAGGGCAAGGCAGGTCCGCCACAATAGCAGTGCACAGGCTGACATTACCCTTACAAATTCCTCCAACCACTCGAGACAGCAGAAAAATGGTAAAACTGTGAGAGAAAGCCCACAGAATGTAGGATGCCATGAGACCTACCTGGAAAACAAGGAAAATGTTACTCAGATCTACTAGGTCTAGAAAATATAAAAGCCCATTTCTGCCATGGAATAAAAAAAAAAGAAAAAAAAAAGGGAATTGCAACTTTTTAATCTACAAATTCGACTTTGTTTCTCACAATTTTGCAAGAAAAAAGTCAGAAATACAAGATAAAAAGTCACAATTACCTTTTTCTTTCTTTTTTTTAAATTCCATGGTGGGAAACAGGTTTCCATAAGAAAAGGGATTGACATACATTAAAGGTAATGTTATAATTTAATTTTATATTAAAGGGGTCATATGATGCGATTTCAAGTTTTCCTTTCTCTTTGGAGTGTTACAAGCTGATTGTGCATAGATAAGATCCCTGAAGTTGCAAAGACTAAAGTCTCAAAACCAAAGAGATATTCTTTATCAAAGTTAAGACTCTGCCACACCCCCCTAAAATGGCTCATTCTAACACGCCCCCACATATCTACATCACTATGTGGAAATATTAGCATAATGCCGCCCAAATGT